TTCCTTAAATTAAACCTGAATTTGTCCTGCTTGTTTCACTGAAGCTTGGCAAGGGACAGCCCTGCCTATACCCTCTGTCTTGGGGTTGTGGTGAGATATCTGGGGAGGCTTTGGTGTCATTGCACCCAGACAAGTCTTGCCCAACTCTCTCAATGTTCAGTAGTGTCCTATGAGCTCCTTTCACCCCAGCTGGGCTGCAGCCTCCTAACAGGACCTGGGGTTTTGTGGGGTTTCCCAGGGCTGGGGAGATATCTACAGTTTGAGACTAGAGGCTGAGGTTCCCCATCTGTGTCTCAGTGGTTTGTTGTGAATGGGTAACAGCCAATATAAATTTTAAGTCCTAACTCCTTCCTGGGTCCCCAGTTACACTGTTCATTCTTTCATTGCAATCCTATTTGTGTAGGGTTCTTGGGAAGATGAAGGGCAGAGGATTGCTTTGAGATAAAAGTATGCCCTGACTTTGAAATCAAATATAGGCGAAGTTTAAGGATTTTTTGAAAAAACCCAGAAAGGTTAATTGGCAGAAAGTTTGGGGAAAACTATGGTATTCAATGCCTACTTTTTTTTTTGAAAGTTGAAATCAGAACATTATTACATCATCTTGGCAATAAACACATGCCAGATAAATGGGTGCTATAAGACCATTTCATTTCTCAGTTGCATTGGGGAGAAAGTGCCTAATGTGATGTCCTTCATTTCAAGATGGGAAAACTATGAATTCATTTAAATAAGCCCATACTAGTGTTTCTAGAAAATAATATTTAGAATGTTTTTTTCCCCTTCTACTCACAATGGATGTGTGATGTTGTGCAGAACACTGGAGCCATTCACTGACTTTCTGATATAATTGCTCCCTTGTTCTCACAATGAAAAGGCAGATTGCTTTAAGATGACTTGTAATTAAAGCACAACCTGGAATGTGTTTATGATAAGGACTTGTCACTTGCTTGATCCAGCAGCTTAGGGCAAAGAAGTTCTGTTTGTTTGCCTTATCTGACATACCTGAGCTTATGGGCAAACAGAAGGCTTGTCTCCCTCCCAAATGGAGGGCAGTTCAGCTCAAGTGAGCAGGGGATGAGTAGTTATCATCAAGACATTCCAGATTTCTGACAGAAGAGGAATGTGTGCTAAGCCTTCTGAACACACTTGTACTAGCCTCACCAACAGTCCATTATCAGTTATTCCAGAGAGGATTAGCCAGTTTATGAATTAGCCAAGACTTTGCCTCTCTTCTCTGTCTGTCTGTCTGTCTGTCTCTGTCTCAATCTCCCTGTTTCCCTCTTCTTCTCCCCCACTCTCCACTCCCTCTGTGTCTCCTCCTGCTCCTTTTCCCTCTTCCTATCCCTCTCTCCTTCTTCCTTTTCCTCCCCTCATCCTATCTCTGCCTCTCCCCTTTAAAAACAGTATTCATCAATTCCTCCCAAAAAAGAATAGCTGACATGAGGTAATGGTTTGCAATTTTCAAAATCCTCACAGTATCCTAGAGGTAGGTCTGATACAACTTGTAGTGTCTCCATGTTACAGGTGGAGAAAGTGAGTCCCATTGAAGTCAAGGATTTGCCTGGGAAGTGGTCAAACAGGGCTTGGGACCTCAATTGTTTCCCTCTGTGTCCACTGTTATTTCTTTCCACAATGTCCCATTGCCTCTTACCCTTCAAAGGCAAGAGAAAAGAAACACAAGTCAGTGAATTTATTCCTTATTAGATCTGATTAGGAGGAAATTGTACTCATCAGCCAATTCAAGGATTAAAAATTGTCTTTGGATTTTCAGTATCCAGTTTCAAATGACCACAGTTACATCACTGATTAGTCCATAAACATATATCAGTCAGTCAACAAACATTACCTGCTGTGCTAGGCACTGGAGACACAAAAAGAGGCAAAAGACATTCCTTGCCCTCAAGGAACTTATAATCTAATCATTAAATGGAATTAATTTACTTACAAGTAGTTGGGGAGAGGCTTGAGTACCCTCCCATTCAACAAATCACTCATCATAAATTATAAATTGTGTGTTTAAAATGTATACATCAGAAGGACTGAGAATAACAACCATAATCATATTAATAGCTGATGATAGTTCAAAACACCAGGGCTGTGTTTCATATCAACTACTCAATAAGTGTTAATTGATAATACATTTCAAGTGGCCGAACCCTCTGCTAGATACCAGGTGGTGGGATAGGGGTCAGATATAAATAAAGATCTCAGAGTTTAGACCCAAGGTTCCCAAGGTTGGTGATACTTCCCCCTGGGGGAGGTGCTGGAACAATCCAAGTAGGGCAGTAGTAGCCTCGACTGCAATGGTGGTGGGGGGGGGGAAGTTAAATAAAAAAAAGGGAGCCATGGAAGCATAAGGTAAAAAGAGAAGATAAGAAAATTTTGAAAAACCATTGGTACATGTTTTATCTGTTGTGCAACAGAATTAAAGTCATAGTGATTACATTATTTTCAAAATAAACACTCAAAATGTAAGTTATAATCCATCAGTGGTCAAGTCTGCTGACAGGTCTTAACAAGCATGTATTGGCAGGCGAGTCTTCCGCACACTGTCAGGAAGTCCAGCATGCATCAGCAGGAATATGCACGTAATGACTTGTTTACAATACAATACCATATGGTTACATGACACAATATTGCATCATCAAAATTTCAGTGCAGGGAAAACCACACATTTACAATAAATTATTAAATTTAAGATGTGTCATTTTTTTTAAAAACTTTTTTGAAATGAAACAAATTTTTAAAAAAACTGTTAAAGAGTTTTTTAAAAAGTAGATTTCCAAGGGGCATTGAGTAAATTTTTTTTTTTTGTAAAGGGGGAGGTAGGCCAAATAAGTTTGGGAATCTCTGATTTAGACAAAGCTAATGCATGAAATAATACAAAGTCAAGTGTTAAACTGTATGGTAGGGACAGCTAGGTGGCGCAGTGGATAGAGCTCTGGCCTTGGAGTCTGGAGGACCTGAGTTCAAATCTGGCCTCACACACTTGACATTTACTAGCTTGTGACCCTGGGCAAGGCACTTACCCTGATTGCCTCACCAAAACAAAACAAAACAAACAAACAAACAAACAAAAAACCCTGTATGGTAGTGGTCATCCCTGACCACTTCAGACCTTATTTTTCTCTTTTTTTTTTTTAAATTAACTCCACTCTGACACATACTGCCTGTGTGGTCCTGGGCAAATCATTAACCTGAATTGGCAGAGGAATTTTTTCATTGGGTGTACCCTATACTGGACAGCTAGGTGGTGCAGTAGATAGAGCACTTGACTTGGAATCAGGAAGACTCATCTTCATGAGTTCAAATCCAGCCTCAGACACTTACTAGCTGTGTGACCCTGGGCAAGTCACTTAACCCTGTTTACCTCAGTTTCCTCATCTGTTAAATGAGCTGGAGAAAAAAATGGCAGACCACGCCAGTATCTTAGCCAAGAAAACCCCAAATGGGGTCACAAAGAGTCAGACATGACTGAAAATGACTGAACAACAAAGTGCCCTATACTAATGAAATCATAATACTGGGCCAAAAAATAGTAAGTACAGATTACAAGTCCTATAGGAGTTGAAAAGAAGAAGAAAGGATTACAGAGACAAAAGAGATCTCTGCATACTACAAAGACATGGAAGAGGGATTAGTCTGGGAGCAATTTGCAGATTGAATAAAAGTTGAAAGAAGCCAAAGGCAGAGTGGCTGCTCCAGGGATCTGAGCTGTAACACCTTTCATCAAGCCAGGTTTGGCTTGATATGATAACTGCATGATAACAGTGGTTGAAGAGGGAATGAATAAAGGGAAAGGTCAGTGGACAAGATCTAATTATTAAAAGTATAGCTAGAGCTGAGACATTAGAGGTTATCTCATCAGAACATCACCATTTACATCTGAAATCCAATGCTGTCATTTTATAGATGAGGCAACTGTAGCCCAGAGAAATTAAGTGACTTGCCCAAAGTCACAGAACTATAGAATAACTGTTATTGTAACTAATTGTTCTATATCATTATAACTAATTGTCATGAAGAATTATATTGTTGATTTTATAACTAATTATATTACAACTAATTATGATTAATTATAATATGAATGCTCTTATTCATTATAATAAAATTCTGATTATAATAATAACAAAACAATAGCTAGCATTTATATAGTGCTATAAGGTTTGCAAAGCACTTTACAAATATTTTCTCATTTTATCCTCACAACATCCTGGAAGGTAGGTATATTACTCCATTTATAGATGAGGAAACTGAGGCAGACAGAGGCTAAAAGACCTGCTCAGCTCATGCTCATAAATGTATGGGGCAGGATTAGAATTCAGAGCATTCCCATCTCCAAATCTAATGTTCTCTCTATTATACCTCCTAATTGTCTCCATCTTTTACTATAAAAAACACACTCTTTGATATGAGAGGCAGCTAGGTGGCTCAGTGGATAGAGCATTGGATTTGGAGTCAGGAGGACCTGCATCCAAATCTGGCCTCAGACACTTGCCAGTTGTATGGCCCTGGGAAAGTCACTTCAACCTGTTTGCCTCAGTTTCCTCATCTGTAAAATGAACTGGAGAGGGAAATGGCAAACCGCACCAGTGTCTTTGCCAAGAAAACTCCAAATGGGGTCATGAAGAGTCAGACATCACTGAACAGCTAACCAACAAACAAATTGATATTAGAGGATACCCCCAATCCATACCTTCATGGAAGGATTGGAAGTGGGCGGTCCACAAGTGCTACACATTGTACATGTTTTTAGATTTTTTTCAATTTATCCATCGGTTGCACTGGATTTTTTTTCCTCTTTAAAAGTACTATTTGTTATATGGAATGGCTCTCTAGGAAGGAGAGGGATACTGGGGGTAGCTATGATGATATAAAAAAAAAGACATCAATAAAAACTTAAAAAAAACACCCCACACTCTTTGACTTGGAAATGTCATCAACAATGTCTGTTATCAGCATGAAAATGAAATCGATGCTATTGATGTGTCTCTGTTTAGTTCCTCAGCTGTCTATATACGAACTGGTCGACATCATCCAACTATTATCTTTAGCAGACAAGAGGAATCTGCCTTGACCCCATCACCTCTTCCATTGGAGGACTCAGGACTGCCTTCTTATGAACAAGCTGTGGCATTGACTGGAAAATATGACGTGCCTCCTCCTCCATATCCTGGACCAGCAAGAGGGTTTAAGGTGTTTAAAAAGTCTATGTCGCTACCTTCTCACTAAATCCAATATCAATGTGGGACATGGATGTTTATCCAAAGAAGGAGCCATGATTTGTTTCTCCAGTACTTTCAAGTGCTAGCCATTTCACTTTTGTAAAGGTATTAACAGCAAGTGGCAATAATGATGGCTGTTCATTTGCTCCAGATATCCTGACTTTTATCTCTGACATCAGAATAATGAGTGAATTGGCTATATTTTTTTGTGCAGTTAGGAGGCAGGCACCAGCTAGATCACCAGCCCACCTAGATTAGGCAAAAGCTCACTAATTATAATGTTCTGAAGGAAGAGCAACATACCCACCATCCCAGAAAAGGTTCTGGACTGGTTGTGTTGAGAACTGAACTATGTAATACAAGAATTTCTTTTGCTCTGAGTCATCTTCAGTCAAGACACCAATATTTTGTCCTCTGTTTATTTTAACTCTCCAGCGAAGGAGACTTTGTAAAAAGTTTTAAAACCCCATGATAAATCAGTGGCCCTTAAAACATAAAGAGAATCCTGATGATTATTCTATATGAAATAGCACGTGATGTTGCTTCTAGGTATTTGTACTTAGAGATTATATCAGCTATACGTGAGTGGGGAGAAGAAAAGAACATCTTTTTTCTTCTGATTAAATGGCTGCTGCCATTAGAACTTGGAGGGCAGGGGTACAGTGACACAAGGTTGTAGATTTGTTAGCTGGCTACTATACTTCTAGTTCTTTTCTATAACCAAAAAAAAAAGCCTCTGTGACCCAGAATCTCTAAAGTCTGTATGAATCTGCTTGTCCCATGAGGAAATAGATAGATTCTGTCTACATATATGCTTGGTTCATATGGGATTATTCAGGTTGGGAATTTTATTCTAGCTCACAATTAATAGTTTAATCCAGAAGGGATAATTTATTTATACTCTTATCATCTATGTTCTGGTTAAAGATGTGTTTAATTTTGTCACCAGTGACCCTTTGCATCTCTGTGATATGTTTTCTCAGGCATTAAGGCATACTTAAAATGATCATTTAACTCAGATTCCCTACAATCCTCTCTTCTGTTGTCATTATTTCTTTAAAGACTTAAAGTAACTTGAATTCTCTATATATAGATGTATAGATGTACATATTTTCCCCCTGTGGGGTGAGTTCAAACAATAGCATATCCCTGAGATGGGAAACAGAAGATCCTATTCCTTAAATATTTGTCAGTTATTACCTTATTTTTTTGTTTTATATGATAATTTACAGGGTTTTTTAATAGAGGGAGGCTGCAGTCCATGTCAATTTTGTAGTGAATGCTAAACAAAAGTAGTACTGTTGGTTCCAGGGGTGGGGAAGCTGCAGCCTCGATGCCACATGTGGCCTTCTAGGTCCTTGGGTGCTGCCTTTTGACTGAGTCCAAATTTTATAGAACAAATCCTTTTATTAAGGGGATTTGTTCTGTGAAGTTTGGATTCAGTCAAAGGGCTGCACTTGAGGACCTAGAGGGCCACATGTGGCCTTGAGGCCACAGGTTCCCTACCCCTGTATATAAATTACACATAAGTTGGAGGGTTTTGTATTCTTGGATAGTAAGATCTTATTTAACATAGGCAAAAATTAAGATCTTTGCCATTTTAAACTTTGTAAGGTTTTGTACTCTCGGCATCTTTTTCAGAGTCCCTTACATTGTATGGCCTACTTGTCACTAACTTACTCACAGAATGTCAGAGGTAGATGTCTCACATCTTCCTTGGACAGAGGAGGAAACCGAGACCCATAGAGGGGAAAGCACTTGCCTAATGTTATCCGACCCATAAGTGGCAGAACCAGGAACTTCACATTTAATTTAAGAAAAGTAGCCTTTTCTTTATGCTACACATTATGCTATTCTACCAAAAAGTACCATAAATAATTATGTACTAATTTTACATACTTTTTCTTCCATTAGCATAAAGACTTTTTATAAAACTTATTTCTTTCCCACAACCTCTCTTTCCGGCCTTTGACAGTAGATAAGCTAATACAACAGATGTCCTGCAGAGGGACCAAAATCTCCCAGGGAGTTTGGGACAGGACTGAAATAGAAGGTTTTCTCCAAGGCCCCACCTTGCTCACAAGATCACACATTACCTAAAGGTATGTTAGGACAATGTGTCCTTATTTGAAATTGACAATTAAAAGGTGCCTTTCCCCTAAGTGACAGTAGGAATTTTTCTTCTGAAATTTTTTTGAGTCCTGCCCACTGACACATAAGCTCTTAGTACAAATTAGCTTCAGAGCCTCTAACTTTCTCCCTGCTGTACACAGTTGTCACTTATCATTTATCATAAAACTTTAATATGAAATCATCTCTGATTCATTCTCAGAGGAACTGTGAAATCCATGGTGTTTGTAGAGTATCTCTACAGTTCATGATAAGAGGGAAGACCCCAATTGACAAATGGCTATATTAAATGGCAACATTTCAATAGTAACATTATAATTTTAAAAATTTTACCGTATTGCTTATTTTTATTCCTTTCTGTTGTTGTTGGTTAATATTAACTATGAGATCCCCATTGTTTCAAAATGCTATCTCCTAGAGCTCCACTTAGCACAAGATTTCACAAATAATTAGGGCTGGGGTTTTTTGTTTTGTTTTTCATTTTTAATTAGAGGTTGGATGGAATGAAGGCTTTGTATCAGTCTGATTGGAAAGAGGCTGATAAATCATAGCAGCATGATAGTTTCAGTGTAATGATGCTACCTGGCCAACCAAGTCTAGGAGATAAGTGATTCACTTTCAGAAAGAAAAACTCTTTAAAAAAAAAAAAGAATACTATTTGTGTTCTATTGGCTCTTTCCAGCTGTCTGTAAATTTCTAATAGAGAGCATAAGAAACTAAAAAAAAGTTTAAATGAGTAACTGTTGTATCGTCATTTGTTATTGTGTTCTAAACTACCACTGTATATGGGGATGAGGGTAGGGGAGGGCATAGGAGCTGGGAGGGTCTCGTCCCTTATTTGGGACTCCTTCAGCCTGTTTTGTCTTTGAAATTGCAACAATGTATTCCCCTCCAATAAATTATGAGTGTGTATGCTTTTTATGTGTGTAGGAAATTGAATTGCTTATGGTTCTAGGTGCCACACCAGCAGAACTAGAAACAATAATTCCTTGAATTGTTCCCCAAAACTTGTTTCCAGAATTCCATCCCAGCTCATTCTTGCATTTTCGACGTGGGGCATTAGTTTCTAGGATAAGGAAGATGGAAGAAAAACTCCTTTCCATGATTGTTTTTACATCTTCATTGAATTTGTGAACTCATCTATCATACCAAGCCATTAATTGGATACGAAACAACTTAGAAATATGTGTTTATGTGTGTATATATGTATGCGTGTATAAAACTATGTATATATATGACGTGTGCAGTTGATTCATTTTCTTAGGGGTGTTTGTCATTTCTGGGGATAAAAATTCTTCATGATATTTAGCTAAGTTAGGTGGTATGATCTAGATGCAGCTGGACGAATGGGCCAAAGCCCATCTCTTCTGGGCACTAACTCAGCCAGTCAAATAATATTGTAAGTGCCCACCATGTATAAAACCTTGGAACAGATGGTTCTGTTGGATGACGGGACTTCCATTATAACAGGCAGTGACTAAAGTATCATAACATGAAACAATAGGGATAAAGACTGAACCTGTGATTTCATTGATGAGAGAGAACTCCCACATGAGGAAAAACAGGAAACAATAGGTTTACAAAAATGGATAACAGGGTGAGCTAAGAATTACATGAATTTAAAAATTTTCCAAATGGTTTATTTAAAAAATATGACCCAAAATGTTACCAATTTTATCTTCCAAAGATTGCAGGTACTACATATTCAGATACTTTAATGAGGGTATTGAGTAATGCCCATATTACAGGTCAATCATGTCAATAAGAAAACTGAAGACTGACCTTAATTATTGACTACCTCTCTGTTCCGAGGGGAGTCAAATATTCCTCTGGCAGGATTTTGTCCTTACTTTTCAGTGTGTATATTATTAGAAGAGAAAACCTAGGATGGGGGGAAGGGGAGGAACTGAGGATGGAAAAGCTTAGCTTTCAGTGATAATTATATTCAGTTTTTTAAAGACAGAGGCTTCCACTTCTGGACCTTTCTCAAAACTAGCCTCATGTTTTAAAGACTTCATTCAGGAGGAGGAGGGAGGAGATTTATATACCATGTACTTAAAAATAAAACTTGCAAAATGGTGACAAATCACAAAATCAACTGTTAGTAAAACATTTTAGTTCTGAACTCATTTAGAATGGATCCATTTGCCATGTTTTCTATTCAGTTGCATTTTGAAAGACTGTATTTCTACATTAGTGTAACCTGATGCTATAGAAATTCAATTTTTATACTTTTTTCTAATGTAATGATATGCTGTGCTGTGTACTTCCCTCAGAAATTTCTGATCATTTTTAAATGTTTCTCTTTGGTTATGTAAGGTAGTCTGCCCAATGTTTACTGGTATTTTTATCTACTAGAACAATGAATTTTTAAAAAAGCATGCCTTCCCTCAAGTCTTCATTGTATCATAAATTATCATTTCTTATTGTGTACATTTTTGTACCTGTATAATAAACTTGGTTTGCATTAGCATTTTGTACTAAGTAAATATTTATTACTTATTGTAGTATTTTAGTAGCTTCATTTTACTATTCTATTCTTTGCTATTTAAAAATTTTTTATTTGGTACAAGGTGTCACCTAAGTTTGAATTTTGGACTCACATTGAACTATCTGTAAGGTACAGCTTCAAATCAGCCTGTGGGGACCAGTATGGTGAGTACAGCTGATTCAAGAGCGGACACTCAGTAAGAAGGTCTCTTTGAATGGTTTCAAGGTTGAATATTGATGCATCATGGATGGAGTGCAGGACTTGACATTAGGAATACCTACATTCTGATACATACTAGCTATGTGACCCAGGCCAAGTCACCTAGCCTCTATGTACATCTAGCAACTATCTATTAAGTACTGCACAGCCTTCAATCTGCAAGAAAATTGGTGTTCCCATACCAAGAATTGTCCATACTGATAAAATCACAGATCCTCTCCACATTCCATATAAAATATCATTTTGTCTTTTGGGTTGTGTTAGCCAAAACGTTACATTAAATTGTTTTTCTTCTGAAAACAGGATTTGTATATGTGGCCTGCAGCTGTATTTAATCCAGTGACAGATTAAAACACAACAGAACTGCATTGTATTTCAATCCACATCTTGCTTACACTTTGAGACTTGGATAAATGCATTTATCATAGCTATAGTAATGCAATGTGCATAAAATCAAAAATATTGGTCATATTACACGTTGATTTGTGGATATGTTAAATATTTACTACTTGGAAAGGGTTTGTGAGTGATCTGGGATGTTAGTTGCAAACAGGAAGCTGAGTCCAATTTCTCATCTTCTAAATTCTATCAGCATGTCTCTATTAGCACAATCCAAATTCTCTAAAGGACAAACCAGTCTGGCCATGTTTACAGATTTGATCAGTCAAGTCAGTAAAACAAAAATTCACAGTTTAGTTGAGCTCCAAAAAGATACTGACCAATTCTCTGAATTTAAAATATTGAAATTATTTTTTTTAAATTGAACAGCTGTTAACACATAATTTCCATTTCTGTACTGGCTTACACAAGTTTGCCCTCCCAATACAGTGGTAAAAAAGCATTAGGGGCAACTAACACTGGCCCTGGAATAAGGAAGACCTACATCTGAATTTTGCTCCGTACACTAGCTATGTGACCATTAGCAAGTAACTTCACTTTCCTTATGTGTAAAATGAGTACAATTACAGCATCTACCACTGGAGTTTTGCTTGTTTGTTTATTTGTTTGTTTGTTTTTTGAGGGGAGGGAGAATTAGAGGAAGTAGTTTATGGAAGGTGCTTTACAAATCTTTAAAGTGCATTCTTTATAAATGCTAGCTATTATTGTAAGAGGGGCAGAAAGAAGAGGCTGCCAAATATAAGACAGACTTCACCAGCTTCACAAATTTGTCTGAGTTGGCCCTATTCCAACCCTCCCTTTCTTCACATGTTCCTTTAACTCAAACCTCAAACCTTAACATCAGACATTTGTCACATAGAATTTGGAGTAATAGAGGGGAAAAAAATTTTCCTACCACTGAAAGTAAAAATACAGGACAATTCATTTTGGAAGACTATTCTTCAGACAGCAAATATTCCAGACAGATTGACATAATAATGCCTAGCACTTACATAGCTTTTAAGTTTACAAAGCACTTTATAAATGTGAGTTTATTTGATGCTCACAACAACCCTGGGAGTTAGGAGTTATTATTGTCCTCAGTTTACCAATTATGACACTAAGGCAGACAAGAGTTAAGTAATTTGCCCAGGGTCATACAGCTAACCAAGGCTTGACTGGTCTGCCCAGTGGAGCACTTAGCTGCCTGACTGCATACATAGTTAGAAGAGACCTCAGGTCATCTAATCCAACCCTATCCCATATTCAATTCCTAAATTAGTTCCTAATACACAGTTGACTCATAACATTTGTCAGCAATGAGATTAAAATTTTTTCTAAGTAATGTCAACAATCTAGTTAATTTACCTCAAAAAGAAAAAATTACTTCTGCACATAATTATTCAACACAATTGAACCAAATTCTTTGTTAATTTATACAACAATGAATTTGTTTTACATAGTGAAAAAAACCTGATTTTTAAAAATCTGTATTTCGAATGTTTGATATTGTGTAGATAAACGCTAAAATAACTCCTGTTTTAGGGAGAAAGGAGTTAGTGACAATATAGTAAAGGGCAAACATAATTAAGAGGTACAGGTTTTTAATTTCTTGGTAAAATATTGTATTCAAATGCAAGAGTCATGTTGGTTAGTGTGATGTGGTTAAAAAGAGAGGAGGGAGGGAAAGGAAGAGAAAGAGAGAGAGAGAGAGAGAGAGAGAGAGAGAGAGAGAGAGAGAGAGAGAGAGAGAGAGAGAGAGAGAGAGAGAGAGAGAACGAACATTGGTCTTATACTCTGGAGGCCGAAATCGGAATCTCCAAATCTGGGCTCCAACTCCTACTGGCAGGGTGGTATTGACAGAGACTATATATAGAGTCCAAAGCCCCAGCTTTGTATCCCAGCTCTATCATTCATTCTCTGTGTGACCAGAACAAGTCACTTTGGACCTTAGCTACAAAATGAGGAAATGGATTAGGCAACTTCTAAGGTCTCTTTCAGCTTAACTTTTCTTTGCCTCAGTTTCCTTATCTGTAAACCTGAGGGTATTTCCTGAACTTGTAGTCTGGTGACAAGTTCTTTGGAATCTCCAGTATTACTTCCCATACCACATCGGAGAATGTCATTAGTGGAGCATTTTCTCATTTAAAATATAAAAATAAGTCATATAAGCTACAAAGCAGAAGTTAAACATTTTTTAGGAATTAAATATGGCTGGAGAAAAAGTGCTAGGTGGAACCAGAAGACCTAGTTCCATCTCTGCCACTAACTAATAATTTTAATAATTATTTTTATAGCTAGTATTTAAATAGTGCTTTAAGGTTTGCAAAACGCTTCGCAAATATATCATTTGATCCTCAAAACAACCCTGGGTGCTAAGTGCTATTACTATTACCCCCATTTTACAGATGAGAAAATTGAGACAGAGGTTAAATGATTTACCCAAGGGTCGCATAGCTAGTGTCTGAGGCAAGATTTGAACTCAGGTCTTCCTCACTCCAGGCTTAGTGCTTTCTAAAGCTATGTGGCCTTGGACAGATCACAGCTTCCCTGGGCATTGGTTTCTTCATCTGTAAAAATGAGAAAAGGGAGTTGACTCAGGTTCTTTCTACCTCTATTATTCTAACACTAAAAATCTATGTTTGAAGAGTCAAGTGACTTAGACAACTGTATGTTGAATCAAAGTAGACAATCTGTATGACTAAGACAAGTAAATATTATTTTATTAATAATGCTAATAATAACTATAAGAAGAAACATGACATAGCGGATTGGAGTCAAGAAATCCCTCCTCTGGCACATACTAACTATATGACCATGAGCTAATTACTTCACCTTTGAATGTCCCTAGTCAGATCTTTGATTATAAATTACAGGTGAGCTGTCCATTTGCAATGGTGGAGGGAGTTTCATCCCAGGAGGTCCCTACACCGATGACATTACAGCTGCAGACAGAAATTTATAGAGCCCTTTAAAGTTTACAAAGTATTTTGATATACATTAATTATCTTCTTTGATTCTGGAAAAAAGAAAACACCCTGAGATAGATAGGAGCCTATGATCCCAGAATTATAGATCTGGAGATGTGAGGGACCATAGAGGCCATCTAGACCAGTTTTAAATAGAAACAGGGGCCACTAATTTATACATAAGGATCCCTGGCCACATACTGGCTTACCTTTTAAATGTAATGTTATATAGTTTATTGTATTTTTATTTATTTTGTTAAATATTTCCCAATTACATTTTAATCTGGCTCAGGTCTGCAATTGGGTTCTTATCTAGATCCATCTTTTCATTTTTACATATGGAGAAACTGAGGCCTAGAGAAAAGTGACTTCTCTAAGGTCAGCCAGGTAGTAAGCAGCAGAGCTGAGATTAGAACCCAGGTTCTCTGTTTATAAATCCAATATTCTTTCCTCTGTGCTGCACTACAGGGAAGGTACAATCCACATTTTTGATAAATATTCAATTCATTTTACAGGTTAAGAAACATGCTCAATTATTCAAAATTTTTCTATTCTACTATATTATGGAAATGCTCATTTATTTCTTAAGTTCAGAATAAAATAAATAAAATTGAAGAAAAAAAAAGAAACATGCTCAAAAAAGGTTGAGTTACCCAACATCCCCTAACTAATAAATGGTAGAGCCAGTATTTTTACCCAGGTCTTCTGACCCCAAGTCCAGTGTTCTTTCCATTGCAATATATTGGGGAGGGGAGTGGGAAAGAGAAGGAGAATTCTTTGACCTACTTATCAGGATAATTGTCTCCACATGATAATTAGTGAGGTGGGAAAATGGGCACAGGCAGCAAACATCAGGATAATCAGCATGCAAAATGGTTGGCTCTTTCCAAATGTATTTATTCTTGAAACCAATTTTCATACCAGGTTAAAAGAAAGGGAGCCTTCACTGACATACTATTTTGGGGGTTGTGAATTTGTCCAACCATTTTGGAAGAATTGGGTGAGGAAAGGGACTAAACTGATCATACCCTTTGACCCAATGATCACATTACTAAACATTGATCCTGGAAATGAATGAATGAATAAATGAAAAAGTATTTATTAAATGCTTACTATGGGCCACGCACTGGAATAAGCGCTTGGGGTATAAATACAAAAAGCAAGACACTCCATCAAAGAGTTTGTGGTCTAATGTAGGAAGACAATGTCACACACAGGGAAGTGAAGCCCGGAGAGATGTGTTACAGGGATGTTAACTGACTATCCTTTCTAGTCTAATGAGAGCCTGGCTGATGAGCCCAGTCCTCACAAGCATGCACAAAGTGCTTGTTTAGTACAATTCTCACACAGACTTTGTAGCATGTGTAGGCAGACACTGGTTCTGGTCTATTAACATTGTGGTACATGGGAGCC